TCAAATTCTGAAAATCTCAGTCAAGCCAGTAAGTATTCAGGTAAAGAGAAAATTATGGTTGGAAATGGAAGCAAACTTAATATCATACACACAGGCACAGCTAAAATGGCAATTATGACTGATAAGCAATTGTTTTTAGATAAATTACTACACGTACCAGAAATAAAAAAGAATCTCATAAGTGTCTCACAACTTACTTTTGACAATCATGTGTTTATGGAGTTTCACTCTATCTATTGCTGTGTTAAGGACAAATCAACGAGGAAAACGATGCTGCACGGAAAGCTTAGAGAAGGCTTATATCAGCTGGAACCTCCCAACACAACCTCCAAAGTTCAGTGAAGTTCTTCTGAGTCATTTCATCCAGATAAACTCTACAATTCAGTATGTTCAGTCGAGTCCAGTAAAGTCGAGAGTCTTGAGTGTTTTAACTCTCTAGCTAGTGTTTGGCATAGAAGACTTGGGCACCCTTCCAGTCAAGTGTTATCCCAAGTACTCAAAGAATGTAATCAAAATTTAACATTAAATAAACTCAGCTCATTCTGTGATGCTTGCCAGTATGGAAAATCTCACCTGCTTCCCTTCAATGCTTCAATCTCACACGCTAAATCACCTCTGGAAATAATCTACACTGATGTCTGGGGTCACTCACCTATTCTCTCAACATCTGGCTGCAAATTCTACATTGCCTTTCTTGATGATTTTAGCAGATATACCTGGATATATCCAATGAAACACAAATCAGAATCATTACACATTTTTGTTCAATTCCAAAAACTTATGGAAAATAAATTTGACAGAAGAATCAAAACTCTTCAGTCTGATTGGGGTGGAGAGTTTAGAAGTTTTGTCAATCATCTCTCGAAGTCAGAAATAGAATTTCGACACTCTTGTCCTCACACATGTGCACAAAATGGGAAAGTTGAAAAAAAACATCGTCATATCGCAGAAACTGGACTTACCCTGCTTGCCCAAGCTAAAATGCCATTAAAATTCTGGGTAGAAGCTTTTCAAACTGCTGTTCATCTTATAAACAGATTGCCCACACAAGTTCTTCATATGAAATCTCCTTATCAAGTCCTATACCATAAAAGGGCTGACTACCTCTCTCTAAGAACATTTGGTTGCTCAT